CTCCCAACCACCATTTCAATTTTTCGGGAAATTCAAGAAACCTGCAATTTGAAAGTCGGGTTTTTTCCGCAATAAGTTAAATGATAATGCTGATTAGGAGAATCTGCAGATATAAATCAACAACACTTCTAAGTACAGTAAAATAAAAATACATTTACCATTTATTAAAGTATATTCCACTGCGTGTCCTAATTTCCCCCCTATAACCACCGTTTTCGTAGGAAATAATGCAGGATGTAGGGGTTAATGAGTGGGGCTACACAAGCTACTGTTGCCCGTTTTTAGCTGCGGGCCGGTTTCTCCAACATCCCGCAAGCGCACTGAGGTCGGTAGACAACGACTGATTTTTTTTTCTTTTTTTCGGGATAGGGTATTTCGGCCGCATTACTTGTTGTCGGATTGTGGCGGCAGGCTTGTGGGTCACTCCTATTCCGAGAGGCGCGAGGTATCTAGCCATAGCTTCGGAGGCCCCTTTAATGTACGGGTTGCTCCGCCACTACTTCGATAGGCAACGCTCTTCGGTCTGCGCTTTTGGTGGCAAACGAAATCGTTTGGTGAACGCTCGTGGATAGTCCTTAGCTCTGAAAAGCTCCTGGAGGACCTTTGCCTAGTCTCCTTTGGTGGCTGGCGTGCTGAAGTGAGTTTCTTTCCGTGGATACAGCATATGTATACAACTTCGCTTGTGTTGCAGTGGGTTGTTGCTATTGTAACTCAATATCTGGGAGGTGTTTGTCTGGTTACGGTACACAGACGTCGCCATTTTGCCGTGCGGTTGCCGGCGGACGAGGACGTGAAGGAACGGAATCCGCCTTCCACTTCTTCTTCCGTCGTAAAATGTAGATCGGGAAAAAGAGAGTTCAATCAGTCTTTGTAGTTGCTGATCCTATTCTATATGACGACAACGAAGGTGTTATCCACGTAGCGTACCCAAAACTACACCCAAGCTGAAAAAAAGCTCGCGGTACAGATCGGTGACTGGATTAAAATCCCAGTGGTCTGAAACGGACAAATTCCAGACCTAAAGAATGAAGCTGTTCGCAATCACAAGCTATAGTAAAAATATCTAGGTCTTGAGAGACTACGGAAAAATGCCTTTTGGTAATGGTGAGTCTTCGTGAGATATAGAACTGTAAATTGACATTTCATTCATTATGTCCGCCACATGCTCCACAGAAGGGTGGTGCACGGATAATTACTTTGGCAGTTGATTTGTAGGCGATAGTAGCCTTGGGCCACACTCTGTATTTCCTCACCCACCTGAGCCAGTTGTCCAGACTGAGTCAAGATGACCGGAGGTGGGATCAGGTACAGTAGCTGAAAGGGCCAGCGAACCCCCCCTAACACACATACCAACTACATACACTAAACCCAAAAATAGACGAAAGAATGCAATCTTGCAATGGAGTAGGCCATTCCTAGGAATACACGCTGTCACTGCCCATTAAGGAGCAGTGGCTACGTGAGACACATCGATTACCATGACAACAGAATCATCGAGGAAGACCCTTAAAACGCAAACCACAGAAAGTGCATGATTTCAACTCACAGAACATCTTCCCACAGCGCAGCCTGCCGCTCCAAAGTTTGTGATTTCAATGTGTGATGGGGTACTTGGTAGATCTGTTGCGAAACTTGCATCACCGAGCGCTGTCGCTAAAATACTGACTTCGGCATCCTCATCGTTATTAACTAAAGCATACTCGTATTTAAGCTACCGAGAATATATTTAAAAAAGGAGAGGGAAACCAAAGCAAGCCCTGAAGTGCTCCGGGCCTCAAAAATGTATTTACTTGGAATAGCTTAAACCCAGATCCACCCTCCTTGTTAAGATCGAGGGGATATGAGGCCCAGCGTAGACTTTAATCAGCGTCACCTCTGACACACACATCTAAGTCAGAAATAGTGTCAGTATTACTAACATTCAGGTACATTACTAGTCAGAAGTAGTAAAATATAGTAGTAGCAGGCGTCGCAGTAATAGTAGCACGGCAAGCTACCAGACACAGCTAAATGTGGTACTAAATGACATGCTTGATAGAAAGGTTACTGTGCTGGCTGAATTTCCCATGGTCGCCCTTGGTTGTCTAAATCATGGGGAAATACGGTACCCTGCGAAAAAAGCGTTTTACAGCTCAAGTCAGAGACTGTGGCAAGCCTGCAGTTAGCCAAGAGACAGAAAATGGCACTATGTTGCGACATAAAGTCGTGGCAGAAACTCGAGTCGTCATTTAACTATTGTTGCTTATTCTTTAGTTACCCCACACTGTATACTGGGTGCCAACGTCCTCGTATAAGGCAGTATTACAGAATACTATTTACTGGTCTAAGGACAAATGATTATTAGAATTAGCACCCTTGATGTCGGTACATTATTTCTGGTAGCAGTATCCTGGCCTGCGTAGTCAAAACTGAGTAGAAAGTGCCACACTCTCGTGGGCAGAGCTGATTAGGTGGAAACCATGGGAAGCCCTGTTTTGCTTCAGGCATAATCTGAGGTTAACACTTTTTGTTGAGATTGATGAGATATGAGCCCAGCGCTGAATTTAATCAGCGACACTTCTAACTAATAATAGCGCCAGAAATAGAGCCAGCACTACTATCGCTCAGCTACACTCCTTGTTAGTAGCAGTAGTATTAGAACTGGCAGTAGCTGTACCAGCCTTGGTTTCATTGAGCCTGTGTTGACACCTGCTGGAAGTGAGTGGGGGTAAACAGTTCGGTGTTACCAGCACAAAAGACAACTTCCATGTAAGACTAAGTTAGGCGGTGTTCTAGCCTGCATTGACCGAGCCCGTCCGGTCACCTTGGCTTTGTTTTATCACTGGTTCAAACGGGTAAGGGGTTCGAGTGTCATAGACTGTTTCGCGTCTGTTCCACTCAAATCTCGTCTCTGACTCCAGTCACCATTCCTGCTCTTGGGCATATGGTGGACATCGCTGAAATGGATGGTCGAACTATCATGACCAGCGACCAATACATTTTACGCGTGTTATACACTCTACTAAAAACGTCGTATTTAAAGAAAAATTAACCAAATGGGTACCCGCGAATCCAGTTTTCTGTAGGCGACAGAGGTTGCTTCCCAGGAAAGTAAAATTCTGATTGCTTTACTCTGCACCTCACACGGATGCTAGTCTTATGCACGAGCATCTGTTACGCGGATTCTTTATCGCTGCATGATTAACAATACCCTGATATGAAACAGGATTAGCTGTGCGTTATGAAGCTGTCAAAAGATAAATACCCACAGGACGAAACTAGGTCACCGCAACGACTACAACAAAACTCGTCAATTCAATTACTAAAAGCATCGGAAATGAAGACCCACATTAAAGTCAGATCATCTTTTGAAACTACCTATTTTGCTATACTTTTTTACTCTTCTTACGATGACAAGTACCTCAAAAGGAACTGAAGTAGACCGTATACACAGCAAATGCTTTGAAGTTCGTAAAGGACCAGAAGATTGCGGGCGCTCACCTGACCTTTAACCTGGGAATCGGAGGAAGCTGACTGTGCAGTGGAGGCCGAACCATAGACAGCACTTGAGACAGCGTTTGTGACAGATTCAGGTCCACTCGGTGCAGCCTGACCACATGCAGACGCAATACCTGTGTCAAGGACACGGCCGTATGCTGTTGCCCCTTCCGGATGTAGTGCCCCTCCAGACTGCAAATACAATAATCAATGAGATTATATCGAGTACGTTTATACATAAGGTGGTCAGTCACTCAGATCTTAGAGGCTACCATGCAACTCTCCTCGCAGTCATCAAGAAGCTGTACTCCGAGCAACGGCCACAAATGTTTCAGCAGTCGGATACAGTAGCTGGACAATCAGTCCAGCCAGTGAGGTTGTGTGTTTAGCCTGGTTCGATCAGCAGATACTGCGATTCACAGCTTCCTAGGTCACGTGATCAAAGAATCTGAATTTCATCGAAAAGACGTTAAATCCATCTGACATTCCAAAGATCCTTCGAACACTATAATGTTTGTAGTTTCATTTTGTTAAAGCAATCATAAAATCAGCGAAAAGTTCTTCTTTATTGCTGTCTCAATATACGCGCTACCTCTAACGATCACCAATGATCTCTGCATCCAATGCAGTTCCTAGGACATGAGGTACACGAAAAAGCAAATATAACCACACCTTCATACAAACCCAAGTCTATGAAGACGAAGCCGACTGACACACTATTTGTAGAATTCATTGAAGAGTCAAAGGCTAATCACGGCAAGTGAAAAACCAAGAATTAGTGACCAAAGTGGCTAAAATAAAAGATCTGGGAATGCCTGTCGGACCTTAAGACAAAAACCCACTGTAGCCTGACAATCAGTCCAGCCAGTGAATTTGCGTGTATAGCCCGGTTCTATCAGCAGGCAGTAGGCAATGTCACTGGGATTCTGAACTTTCTATATCACGATACTTTTCCCCCAGTTAGAGCTCAGTCTCATTCTCTGACGGCGCAATCGCTCACCTCAAGTCAAGTCAAGTCAAGTTTATTAAAGGAAATATTGGCTAACGCCTTTGAACTCCCTATTGATACATAGTATTTAAGAAATGCGTCGGCACAGCAGATGGAGGACAGCCGGTTTCTGTCGAGTGGCGAACTATACACAATGATCCCAATCTAATATAAACTACAAAAATATATCTACTTTCGATAAATAAACAAAGGAGACAGCACTGTGCGGTGTTCCGATTTTTGGGATAATGTATTCAGCAAAAGCGCCCAATGTCTGCAAATTAACTGATGCATGCACAACTAAAACTGATACCATGTATCAACTCATACAAAGCAGTGAAAAGAGGCCAAGCGTGACACATATCCGTACACCAAAAAAGTCCGCAGCAGAAGCTTTGGATGCATGTAATATTAAAAAAAGTGAGGTTTTATTAACGAAGACAACACGCTGAAGTGTTTCTTGATTTTTACACAGTGGTAAATTTAAGAGAGGCAGATGAATGTGAATACAGACCTCAATTCTTCCAACTGTCTGCTGATAAGTTTTGATACATCCAAGCAGCTCGTCGTTCATACTCGTCAACTTGGCAAGGGTCGTGTCAGGTTCATTGGTGAGTTCAACGGAATTCGAAGTCGTACTTTCATAAAGGAGCGTGCGAGTTTTCTTCTGCAGGGCCTCCAGACGCCCAACGACGACCTGAACACAGAAATCAAAAAAATATTATGAACTTTACACTCCCTAGCCAGAATTTTTCTTTTCTCCACACGCCCAGTGCATTTCAAAGGTTACTGGCAGATCCTTAATGAAACGCACATAGTTTACAGCTTACCTTGAGATCGCGCATCTGAGTCGCATCAACTAACTGAGATGTGCTCACTTCTGGATGCAGTGCCTGGAACAATTGAATGGCCTCCCTCGCGTCCGAGAGTGTCCG